AGTGCCGTCAGGCGCGGTGCGCCAATACGTGTGTTTGGAGATGGCGCGTTGCGCTTGTTGTCCCTCCAGCTTCACCATGACTGTGCATTTGGTGCCATTCACGGTAAACCCGTGACTACGAACGAGGAGCAGTAGTTGCTCGATCAGAGCATGTGCACGGTCCAGGTCCTCGAGTGAATGAATGTCTCGGTGGACCGTCAGATCGTCCGCGTAGCCAGTGAGGTAGTCCACTACTGCTCGGATCCCAACAAGAGCAATGAGCTCACGAAAGATGGTGCCCGTGAGCATAGAAAAGAGAGTAGGGGCAAGCTTGCATCCTTGTTTGATGCCTGGTGTCCTCTTCCCCTTGAGTGCGAAAAGTGTATGAACTGCCCGCGTGAAGGGAAGCAACACGGTCAGTGAGGTCCTGGGGGACACCCGCATCCCGCAGGGTGCTAAGCAAATCAGCCCTGCTCACCATGTCGAAGGCCTGTGACAAGTCTAGACCAAAGCAGATACCCCCAACCAGCTGGGGGCGGGTTTGACCCGAATGAAGCTGATGCCTGGTTCGCCGAGCTTCTTGGCAGTTACTGCGTACCTGAGTGACATGGCCTACAACCCTGCTCAAAGCGTCAGAGAGACCACGCTTGGGTTGGTAGGCAAATTGGGGGAGACCCTTGAGATATTCAGCTGTGTAGGGAGCCAGCTGGTCTCGGCAGGCCCCCGCCAGCCCCTTGCCACCCGGCCGAATGATACCGAGAGGGCGAAGGTTTCCAGGCTTCGTGGCCGGCTTGTTAGGCTTAGGAATAAAACACAAGTCTGCATCCTTCAAAGGCCGCTGAAGAACTTCAGCAGCCGGCAGTGGGCGTTGCCCCTGGGAGTGCAGCGTTGCTGCTAACGCTTCGCCCGCATCCGCCGAGCATAGGCGCCATGCAGCCGCAAGAGCCTGGGGGACCGCTTTGTGGGGCCGAATGGACCCGATGTGTTTGGCCAATAGGCCTGCCGGAATGTCCGGCAGCGAGGCAACCTGATGTTCAAGGGGAGGGTGTCTGGCAAAGACCTGCTCCACATGTTCACGAAGCAGTCGACGCTCTGAGTGAGAGTCCAAAAGGAGACCATCCGGTCCCTGAAGCTGGGCCTTGGTCTGCGGCTCCCATGGGCGGAGCTTCTTCAGGGTCTTGTGTGCGATGTAAGAGTCATGCCGGGCGCACGCCTCATCAACCTCAGCTTGAAAGGCACGGTTACGCTCCTTTCTGGCTAGATAGAGAGCCTGTTTGTGCCAGCGATTCAGATCCTCCAGAGACTGATCTATCTAAGTCCGATAAGGTGGTGATGGAAGCCTCATGCAAGGAGCGAATGTGAGCTACTCTGTTCCACATACGCAATGTCGCACGGTGCTGCGCCGATTCTGGAGCCTGCTGCAGGCGAGGTTTGGGAAAGAACAGAGCTGAGGCCTCCAGCAGTACCTGATTTACTTCATCCGGCGTGTGATGCCGAGTGGACAGGCGTTGGCGCACCCAGTCCTGCATGCGGCTAGCATTCGGCAGCCCCGAGCGCACAGCCGTCTCGAGAGCCTCCTTATGGAAGGAGAGGGGGGGACAAGTGGGCTTGGGTAGATTCCAGTGCTGAGCAGGACGGATGTGAGCGAGAACAGGAAGATGGCCACCCCTCTTCCACTTACCTAGCTGGAGATCTTTGCGCGGTCCAGACTGTTTTGCCTGACCCTTAGCTAAAGCTTCAGAGGTGAGCAAAAAGTCAATCTGTGAGCCCTGTCCATTCAAGAAGAAGGTGTGACCCGTGCCACAGGACCACGTATTTAAAGCGACCAGCCGATGGGAGGAAACCAGGGCCTGAAACGGCTCGTCCTGCATTTGGGATTGCTCTACCCGGGTGCTACACTGTCCCACGAGACACTCCTGCGGTGTCAGACGAGCATTGAAGTCACCCGCCAAGAGAAATGTGTCCCTGGCCGGGATGGCGCGTATGGCCGCCGACAAATCGCGAAGCAAGTGAGAGCGGTCTTCCTTGTTTTGCTGAGGAGACTTCTTCGATGACCACGCATGCTGATATGCCGCTAAGACATGCACGCGGGCTCCAAGCCACGGGAAGATGACCTGAATGAGCCGTCCGCGGCGTTGTTCCCTCCACCTAATCCGCTTCCTGTCTCTCTGCGGAGAGAGAAGAACCATGACGCCGTCCGCTCGGCTTGTGTCGTGAACTGCCGGCTGCGTAGCAGCACCTTGCTTGGAGCGTTGCCCGGAAGCAGCTTTACCTTTAGGTGCCCGAGCAGTTCCTTTTGTGGCGGAGCTGACGCAGTGCCAGCCTTCGACATCAAATTCTGCTGTGGGTTTCCTGAAGGACAAGAATGTCACAGACTGACTTGGCCTCCGTGCGAAGCCATGTCTTCACTTCTGCCATTGTTGCATGCCAAGGTGCCCTGCATTCCAGGAGAGAACGCGAAGAGACCTGCTGGCACGACCGCCTCTCGGGCGCGAGCGGAAACTGGCGGAGAAACCTGAGGGACCTGAAGGAGAGATTGTGGCACTAGGCTGCACTGGGAGGGGGGGAGGGGAGGGGGGGGTAAGTCCACTGCGACGCAGATGTTCAGGCGTCAACGTACCATTCCGGTACTGGATGCTTTCTTGTGTCCGATGGACCCTATTGCAAGCCTTGCGAAAGGCCTTCTTGCGAATGCTCTCATATGAATTCTGGTGCATTGGCGATTGCGCCGTCCGCTAGTTTCGCCGGAAAGAGAGAACTCAATCCGACTCCCTTCACCCTGCGGAAAAGGTGAAAACCACTACCGCTTACCTCATGCCAAGGTTGTATAACTGCAGACAGAGGCCCGGGAATTGGGACCCGGTGGATCACAGCGACACGCGACTCCGGGGATAGCTATGGCTCAGTAAGAGGACAGTCCCTTAAGCTTCGCAGAAGGGAGCCGTTGCGAGCCTCTAGCGTTGGTACCCAGAGCCTTGTTAGCAAAGCTACACAGCCTGCTGTGATCCATAGCGGCTACAACAACAACAACAACAACAATTTTTATTGGACGCTGAGCGAGCGGGCTCTGCTCATTGCGGGCGTGTGAGACTGCCTTTGCACCTTAGCAAAGGTTCGAGAGCATAGATATAAGGGGCCTGGGCCTGTTAGCTCTGAGAAAGGCGACTGAACTACAAAGCTACCCTACAGGCTATTGCAGAAGCCAGCTCATGGTACTCAGGCAGAGGTGAGAAACCCTCCGACACCCTCAGTGTGGACTATGGCGTCCCATGTCCACGAACCAATGATTGATGAGCCGTACCGCGCAGGGCCGTCACTCAGAGTGCCTGTTGCGTGGCGTCCCACTCATGGTCACTCTCAATCAGAGGCGATGGGCCGTAAGGTCGAAAAAGTGACGCATAGCTCTTGGGACTCCAGCTTGAGCAGTGGCGAGATGCTCTAGCCTTGGCGAAAGCACGTCGTTTAATGAGATCAACCCGATCAGCGCAGTCGAGGTAGCTGTGCTAAACAGCTCATGCTATGAGCACGTGGGACGGCTGTTAGTGCTGTTATCTGAGGTAGCTCCACTTTTCTTGAGGGCAATCGAATTGCATCTTGTAGCAACACGGTGTGCCCTGGCGGCAGCTCGCTATGCCAGAAATGGCTAATGTTGGCTGTCGGTCAACTGTTTGACTGAAAGGCGTTGCCTTCCTGAAAAAGCAGCGAGCGTTGCCCGATCAGTAGGCCTGGCAAAGACCTCTATGGCGCAGTGAAGCCAAGAAAACGAAGACCAGCTCTAAGGAAGATGAAATCCTAGATCGCTCAAAGTAGCTTTGAGCTCATCTGGCACTCGGCCAGGGTGGGAAATGCAGTACGCTGCCAGGGTGGCGCGGTCTGTTAAACTCCAGCCTCTGGTACAATGTACATGATTATGGGCCCGAAAAAGAAGCGCCTGAAAGGCGAGACTAAATGGGTGTCCTCTCAGTAAGCCGAGCGGAGTTTCCTCATAGTCATTGCCAAGCCATGTTTCCACCCATACCGAACCTCCGTCATGGTGAGAGAGGCTAAGCAGCAGTGTGCCCGTCTTGGAATTGGTTTGGTCACGATGTGAAGGTGTCCGAACATTGTAGTTCAAGGAAAAGGTGCTCCATACATGGTCCGGGCAGATATGCTCAATCAAACGATTTAATAGGCGACAGAAAGAGCCGTGCCGAACTGTATGAGCGCAGAGACCTACATGTGGCCCACGTGCAAAGGCACCAAAGGTGACGTTGTTGGCGTCGCCGTCAGAGAAGTGCTACGCCATGCAAGTGCTCTGACCGCTGTACGCACTGCACACCAGAGTGGTGATTGTGCATCTTGTAGCAGATGCCAGGCTAGAACCTCAGCACGTGGGGCTTTGTCGTCCAACTCCTTGTAGGGGAAGGGCATGTGCGTGTCCAGACTGCGAGGAAGGCTGAGTTGTAGGCAAGCCATGTAGCATTGTAACTCTTGCTGTCTTCCATGACAAAGGATCTGCGAAGACAGATGTAGTAGGTCATTGTAAGAGAGCATCCCAGCCTGTCGGGATTGACCGAGACGGCGGTCGAGCAGCCAACGCATGTATCGCCTGTAACAAGAGGTATTCCTCAAGCGCCACAGCGTACAAGTCAGGCGGAAAGTCCCGGGTCTGGAGCATGTTGCTAAGGGTATCTGACTAGATCTGCTGCTAAAGCCTCAGACAATGGGTGAGTGCGTGACCATCCTGCAGCCTATTGCGCTAACCGGTGCTAAGACAGGGAGCGGCACTCTATAAGCATTTGGACACTTGCAAGGTCAGAAGCTGTACGATGAAACGGATGTTCGTCGGCCCAGCGACGAGGCCAGCCAGCCTTGAGGCAGCGCGCGAGCGAAACGCAGGGCGTTGCCTGTCTTCTGGCGGGGCGTTGCCCTTGACGCAGGGCGTTGCCTGACAGCTGGCCGGGCGTTGCCCGTGAAGCCACTGAGCGAAAAAATCGTGCAAAAAGTGAGACATAGACTCAGTGCCGGTGCATGGAGCTGTCTCAGCGATTGTAGCCGTACTGCCATTGCTCCTGGGACGCATAAGAGTCCTCTGTCCAGGAGGGCCATTCTGACCAGTCGGCCAGTCTTGTAGCAAGACTGTCTGCATGACCATGTTGCAGCCCTACATGTTCATGGGCACACTCACTTGACTCTGCCTCATCACACTCTTGGTCACGAGAAAGCAAGCAATCCTTATATCGCGATGCAATCTGCTGGAGTGCACGAGTGCCGCGCCCGGTGACGCGAGTGCTGAAAACAGTGGCCCCAGACATCCAATCTTTCGTGAGGTCGATCATCAAATGTCCAGACTTGCTCTCGCAGCGTGAGTGAGTGAGTGAGTGAGTGAGTGTGGCTGGGTATTGTGAGGCCCCAGCAGGATCAGCCGTTGCTTCCGCCCGAAGGTTAAAGCGCAAAGCTGCAGGCCGGCTCCACACGAACGCCGTGCATCATGGCAAACCCGATGCACCCTTAACTATGACAGGGCTCTCGAAACCGAACTGGAGAGGACACTAGGCAAGCCCGCCACCTGCACCTCCTAGCAAAGGAAATTGCTAGGAAGGCCGGCATAAGGGCAAGACAGCATGCCATCCTCGATACCTCTGCCAGATCAAACGGTTCTTCCCGACGCAATCGCTCGCGACGGTACTGGGCCAGGTCTGGAGCGTCCCCGACAGGGCGCGGGTTGGTGGCTGCTGCCAAACATGGCTAGTGCTCTTCCCGTTGGATCCCTCCGCGGGTACTGGGCACCAAAGCAGCTCATCCAACCCCGAGGGCGCGACACGGTCATCACTCGGTTCACGCCTGGCGGTGGCAAGGGGCCGCCTCCACCGATGGCAAACAGTCTGCCACCCCCCTGACCGCAAACTCATAAACAGTTTTCCCTCTGAGTGAATGGCCCAATGCCTGCAACTAGCGGCAGAGACCAGCGCGAGAGGGGTGCAGAGTGGAATGAAAACATCAGGAGCAATCTTCTTGAAGCAGATAGTCGGCTTCTCAAAGTCAATCAGAGCTCCCAGGCGCTTGAGAGTCTTTACCCCAATCAAGATGGGGACCTGTGGCACGTCCAAGGTGTAGAGGCCAAGTTGGACCTTGCTCTTGTTCAGCAGCTGGGGCAGTTGCAAGTAGCTTGAGGCTCTCTTCCGCTCGCCGAAGCGGAAAGACTTGTCCACGTTCGGGAAGACGGACACCGTCTCCATCCCAAAGATGGCCTTCCTCTTGGACATCACCGCCTCGACTGCCTCAAGGGATCCGACAGTCTCGGTAGCACCGGAGTCCACGATACCAAAACCGGCATACAACTGCCCAGCAGCGGCCCATGCCGTCTCAAAGTCCTGGGGAATGTCGCTCGAGATGTCATAGCACAGCAGTCGATCAGAGGCCTCGTCCTTGACAAGCTCCTCGTCTTCATCATTCATCACCATGTAGGACGCGGCAGAGGCGGATCCTTTTCCATGTCCTGCAGAAGAGCGTTTGGGGCATGCGCGGTAGTCGTGGTCTTTGGAGCCGCAGATGAAGCACCCGGTGTAGGAAGCATTGCCAGGCCTCTGCTTTCCTTTTCCTTCGGCAGCCAGCACTTGCCCGTCGATTTGCCGCCCTTGCTCGAAAACTTGCTCTTGCCCTTCTGCTTGCCCTCAGACAATGGAGAATAGCCGCGGGCGGTGTTCTTGGCCGCGATGAGCTGCCGGGACTCCTTGAAGTTGCGAACCTTCTGCTCGTAGGCGGCGTAGGCCTCCGCAACCTCCTTCGCGCCGTCGGGATCCGCCTGATAGCACTCCTCGATGCCCATCCAGGGCTTCGTAGGACCACCACACTCCATAGGCATCCTGAGTGTAGTACTCGGTCTGGTGCCAAGTCCAGTGGACCTCAGTTCCGTCGGCGCCCTGCGACACCCATTCCTCCAGCTCGTCAGCTGCGTGCACTTCGGTCAACCCACATCACTTCAGGCAGTTCGGACTCCTCATCAGCGGGGTCCTGGGCATTCACAACAAGTCCCCATTCCCGCATTCTTCGACCCAGTAGGATCGTCGGGACCTGTTATCACGATGATCGCGGTGTCGTTCCGAAGCCAGCAGCTCCTCCTCTTGATCACGCAAGGCCTTCTCGACCACGTTGAGCTCGAGGACGTTGTTCGTGGCCGACAAAACGGCCAGCCTCGCATGGCTCGGCAGCCCACGTTTCCTCAGCAGCAACCAGCCCAGAATCTCAGTTGGGAGAACCTCGATATCCTTGATGTCGTACTTCTCCCACTCGGGCTCCGGAAGCAGTTCCTTCGGAGCTCTGTCTGAGGTCTCGCTGCGATCGTCACGTCGCCATCGTCCTCCCCAGTCATCCCATTCCTCATCGGTCCATCGCTGCAGCTCTTCCACCTCACTGGAACGTGAAGGTTGTCCTCGTGAGTGAACACCCGTCAGCCGCTCATGTGCAACGGGTGGAGGAAGCTCTTCACCTTCATCCGGCACTTGATCGTCCATTCCGAAGTCATCCGCCGGCTCAGGCTCCACGGTCGCAGAAGATCGCCGCCTTGCCGGAGATCCTCGTCGAAGCGCGGAGCTCGAAGGAGAAGAACCTTTCCGGGGCGATGGAGACCGCGGCGGGGCACCGGTAGTCGAGGAAGTAGGCCGCCCTGACCTTGCCCGTGCCAAAGCCCGTTGGACTCTCTCAGCTCAGTTGCCCACTGATCCATCCCTTGTCCCGGGCTCCTCTTTGTCTTCAAGAAGAAATCTTCAAGCCTGGCCCCTAAGTCAGGCACAAGGGTTTTCGCCAACTTCTCCTCGAGGTAGTCCAGCAGATAAGAAGCTCCACAGCGATCCTGGAGGCGAGCAGGATCCAACTCAATGGTTACTTCCCACGCCTTTCCGGTCAGCTTCGAAGCAAGAGAGGCTCCAACAAGCCTTTTTTTCTTCTCAGCTGTCCGCATCCACTCGAGTCGTACACGGCGAACATAATCAGACCAGGTCGCGTGGTTGCCGTCCCAAGACGGAAACGCCTGGCTCCGGTTCATTGCCGCGTTGATCTCGAAGAGACAGGCAGCCCTTCAAAGGGAGGGAGTTTGCGCAGCGGTCGAGCGTAGCCTTCCCTGGAGCCAACCCTCTGTGATAGGGAAGGCTCCGCTACCAATTCTGGTAGCACACAAAGGTTCAAGTAGCTGAACCCGAAAGTCACAAGTGACCGCAAAGCCAGGGCCTCGTAGAGGTCACGATCCTTTTCATGCCATGGCGAAAGGCCTCTCGCAGCGTCTGTTGGAAAACACAAAGGCTGAAGGAATTCCTCGAAGCGAGATGTACAGGAATGGCGAGGTTTGCAATCAGCTCTTGCATGCGGCTATACATGCATGCAAACAGAGGTACTTGTAGCGACTTCGCCTCCGAAAACAACACTGAGCTGAGTGTCGGTAAATGCACGGCCATCCGACCCGCAGGAAGCACGGTGGACCATAAGTAAAGCATGTTGAGCCAAAGTCTCGTACGAAGTAATGTCACGTTGGGCCTGAGCTTGCATTTGCAACCCCATATCCAAGAAGAGCTGGACTTCAAAGTGCTCTGCGAACCTGCACCAAAGCAAGGGACCCCATGCATGCAGCAACGCAAACCCACCTATGCCTATGCTACTGACGGAAGCCATGGCATCGGCCGCAACGGAAACCGGTTTCACGAGGCCCGGCCACCCGAAGAGCGTTCTGCGTACTGACTTTGCACTCAAAAGGAGCAGTTTCACAAGGCCCGGTCAGCGGAAGAGCATTCCGCGTATTGAGTTAGTACTCCAAAATAGCAGTTTCACGAGTCCCGGCCACCCGAAGAGCGCTCTGCGTATTGCAAAAGACCAGTTTCCAAGCCCGGCCACTGGATGAGCGTTTTGCGCACTGAGTTTGTACTCCAAAAAAGCACTTTCTCAAGGCCCCGCCACCCGGAGAGCGGTCCGCGTACTGACTTTGCACACAAAAGGAGCAGTTTCACAGGGCGCGGTCAACGGAAGAGCACGTGTAAAGCTCGATGCAACCAGACATGGATGAATAGATCAGCAAGCAAACCACCAAAAAAAAAACACAGATAACGCAAAAAAGACACAGATGACGCTAAAAAAGACACAGATTACCCAAAAAAAATGGTACGGGAAGCCCTTCCTTGGGAGGTGTGACCTAAAAAGAAAAAAGACACAGATAACGCAACAAAAAAAAAACGCAGATCACCCACTTGCCCTCCACCGCGCACCTTCCGCGCACCGATATCGCGCTCCCCGCTTCTTGTCCCCGCCCTCACCGTCCGCGCACCCGATATCGCGCTCCTGCCCCTTCTCCCCGCCCTCCACCGCGCACCGTCCGCGCACCCAAACCGTCCGAGCACGCGATCCGCGCACCCGATATCAAGGCCCGTGAACCGTTTAGTCTTCTAAAGCTCTTCCGTTAAGACAAGGCCCGATATCGCCCACGTCGCGTTGGAGCATTATAAACTAGAACCCAACCCCAGAGGGGTTTTCGGTAACAAAGCACCGCCTGTGCAAGCCTGGCGTGCATCTCCACCATCCATGTGAATTATGCGCATGAAATGCAACTCTAATCATGCTATACTGAGGTACCCTATACCATAAGTCTTTGTCCCTAACAATGACCGTTGCGTCATTTCAATTGCGTTGTCAAGTTCCGCGTGACTTTCCGGATTCTCCAGCGTGGAAACTGTCATGTTACGGCTGAGCTAATTGAGTCCACTTACGTTCCTCCTTCAGCAAGTGGCCACAACCCAGCATAAGAATAAAATTCACCAAAATATTACCAAGTTGGGCAATCAAATGGCGGCTTCCCCTGAGAAAAACCACGTGCCCCCCCCCCCCCATGAACAAAAGTGCTCTGAAAAATGCCGCGTAGAGCCGCCATCACAACAAAGCAGAGCCGAATAGAAACCAGCCCTGAGGTTTGCATGTGCCTCAGTCGAAGCAAACAACTGACTGGTGATGCTAGCATCTGTAAGTTTCACGAATCGACCAATACACATACTAAAGCCTTGGCACGTGTTACGTTGACAGGTCTGTCAGAACTCCACACCTGCAGTTTGTTAGCACTAGTGGTGTAATTATTTAGTAAGGTGCTCGGTAATGCTCGCACTGATCCATTTGATGGGCCCTTGCCACGTTCTATGTCCATGACGTGTCCCTTTCCCAAAGCATTCTGAGAACGTCCTCCTTACCAACAGACCTGCCACCAGGTGGACATCGGGAGACTTGAGGCTTGGGCAAAGGGTTTCATGGCTCGAAGAATTACAGCAACATCCTCGCATCGCCTTTTTCCTATGCCATGGACGCCAGTTAATCTTCTGCGTTGAGAAAAACGCTAGCTGTTACAGCCGAAAAGGCACGGCTTTCACGATTAAGCACAGTTTATCGCCTGTGGTTGCTCATGAGGAGCAAGTACCTGCAAGAAGCTCAGTTCCCGCCAGCTGCCCGCCGAATTCGCGATAACCGTATCTGTTATCTCCTGAACTACTGACCAGGATCTCTGCCTACCCGCTCGAATGCCTAGCTCTAGTGGGCATAGCAAGACACTGCTGTTTATGTACCTGCCATGGTCACAGCGATGCAATGTCAGGTTCGCACCTTGTATAACCTAGAAATCAAAGCTGCTGTCTGTCCGTGAGCCCGCATAGGATCGCATAAGCAATACTGGGCGGCCCCACCCCATCGTCTTCACATAATCTGTGGCCTTGCCAAAAAAAACAACACGCACAAACCCAATCGACTTAATCGTGTACGTCGCAACCATGTTCCCTGTGAGCAGGACCATGCCTCCCTCATCAAACCGCTCCAGGCGTAGACATACTTCACAATATCGAACAGCTGCCAACACGCCAAGGCGGCACAACAGCTTGGGTATCAAGGAACATGATGCCTCCTCTTTCCAACTTTCGACCTGCACAAACATTACGAGCGTTGTTCCCCACCATGCACGTAGTGCGCTGTACTGACCAAGACGCGAGACGAGCCTTGGGAAGATTTTGGTAAAACTATGGGCAGAAGCGAGGAGAGTTAGCATACATGGCGGCTCAGACTTGGTGTTTCCGAGGCTGTCGCTGGTAGGCCCGGCGGAGTATGAATTGGGTTCTGAGCAGCGCCAATCAGCAGTGAATTGCCGACACACGCTGCTGCTTCATGAGCTCAGCGGCTGGCAGACCAGCTGCAGCTTGAATTTTTAGAAAACCTGACATGGCCACCATCCTGGCATCCAGAAAGATCACAACCCATCACCTGTTGCCCAGCGAAACAGCCTCATAAACGGGTTGCGATTCCTGGTGGTCCTCAGGAACAAGGTCACAACTAGCCAAGAGCCAAAGTGTGCAAAGCTCGCTGACCATGAACTGTCTCAGTGGCTGACAGGCCAATATGGGTTCTGCATTGGCTTCTCGGGATAGCACGTTGATGTGAGAAGGGGTCAGTCGTGCATGGCGACCTGATTCTGGCTTCCAGTCTGCAGCGGCAAACTCTGGACTATTCCGCTGAGAAACATCATCCAATCTAGTGCTTGGAGGATGCACTAGCCATGCAGCGCAGGTGTAAAAGCTGAGACGGCCAGGGCAGTAAGTGCTGTTGCAAATTGATCCTAGCATTCTACATCGTCATACATCGCATGCTCACAGTGAATGTGATGGGGAAGGACAATGCCCATGTAGGCAGATGGCCGCCCATGTGCATGCAAACCGAAGGCCAGCTCTTTCTTCGCTGTCCCTGTGCCCTCCAGCCCGCAATGAGTAGCCCGAAGCGAGTGGATGCAGTACTGGAGTTAGTGCGACGAGCAGCTTTTCGCCAAGGCATTTGTGATCCAACGATGCAACATCTACATACTGGTCTGCGTGCAGGCCGAGTTCACACTCAGTCTGTTCTCTGGTCAGTCTGGTTCGAGATTCAAATGGTTCGCTGCCGACTGATTCGTGCCAGGTCTTGGATTCCTGAATGATCCGCCAACCCGCCTGGGGGCCACGCCCCACTGTTGCTCTGGCAGCTGCAGCTGAGCCTTCCTTGTTGGGCTCCAACCCCCCACATCCCCCCACTGTTCTCTGACCCTTTCCGCGCTTGCCGCGTGTGGGTTTTTGAATTGTTTTTGTGTGTTGGCAGCGCCCACCATGCTCACCGGCCTGCCTTTTTCCTGTCATAGGGGCTCCGCCCCAACTTCTCCATATCACGCGAATTTATTGGGCGATCCGCCTGGTACTGGCCCCAGATCTGTCCGATCCGCTCACAGGTGTAGACCTGGCGCTGCAGCCCAAAAAACGTGCCCTGCAAAGCAGGGAAAGCTTCTGCAAGAAGCTGTGGCTCGGGCGGAAGATCTGGCTGCACGGCCTTTTTCAAGGCCTTCAAAGCTTCAAAACCAGATCCACTCAGAGAGTCAGACAGAGTCTTTGACTGGGTGTAACATATCTCACGTCAAGACAAGGCCGGTCAAGGGAGCCGAAGGTTCCCTCAGGCAAAAGAAGAACACGTAACAGCAATAGAGGCGCCGGGGTGCCCCCCTATCTCTCTCGTCACCGGGTCAATTCCGGGGCACTCTTCGGAGATCGCCGGGCCGGGCCCCAAGTCCCAAAAGCAGCCACCCGAACTTTCATCCCGTGCGCAGCATTCTGGCGCCTCCGGTACTTCTGCAACTTCATGGAAGAAGTGCCGCCTCGGACCAGCATCGGTCTCTCGTAGCGGCACTGGGAGTACAGTTCCGCGCGAATGGTTACAAGGGCGACACTTGTTGGAGACCACGAAATCGTTCCCGCCCTTTCCTCCACAAAGTCCTGCAAAATCTCCGAGAATCCATGGACATGCGAGCTTTGGCCCATGGTCCAAAAAACAACGCGCGGTTATTGCTACAGTTAATTATAGTTGGTTTAAACGCCTACCTCCATGCCGAGACTACCTGAACCCTCAGCTGCGGATCGGCTGAGCAGCGCTTTGAATTGAAACCTTTGCTAGTGGTTTTCGTCCTCTGCTGTGGCTTCACCGCCCCACACAGCCTGGGCCAGACAATTGCGTATG